ATTGTGACGAATTTGGCGATATACTTATACTTATACCCGTACATTTTTTATAAATACTTTCATATAATCCATGTTTAACTGACAAGGCTAATCCTCTATATATGGAGATATATTAATATGAATATGGATATGAATATATGAAGATATACTGTAATATATGTAAACCTGACAAAAGTCGAACTCGTTTGTTCCATAAGCTATTTAAACACCCCAAACGAGAATCTAAGGTCGCATCATGCAAGGTTATTCGATAATTTCATTTCGGTGGTATTTCTTCAACGAAACCTACAAATCGTTTACTTAAATTAACGAAATTACTTTTTAAAGTAAAAATAATTTTGAGGGTAATATATATATAAAATCAAACGGTCTATTGTTTTTTGGAATGCTTTTTTAAATATTCTAGATCTAAGATTTGTGTATAAATTCATAACATAAACGGATAACATAAACGGTTAATTTAAGACCTCTTACTAGTAATAAGTGCTTTAATAGTACAGGAAATCTATTTCGTAACTCTCGATCGCTTCCTACGTAACAAGATTTTCAAAAATCTAATCATAAATTTCATTGCAATTTTGATTGAATTGCAATGAAAATTTGCAGAACTATACTCTTATCTCTGATATTCTTCTATTCGAATAAGTATTTTCACGCTTTTAATTGTATCGAGTTGCACATAGTGCTTATTCAAATTTTCCATCCAAGAGAAAATGAAATTTATAAAAGGCTATGAGTTTCATAAAAAAAATATAAAAATTCCGCTTTTCAATTGTTATCATAATTCCAACTTAGATAACACAATGTTGTATTCACAAATATCAAATTCATTAATTATTAATGAATTATTATTTAAATTCCTTAAAACTTACATAAATTATTATTGTAATAATAAAGAGAAGTGTCAACAGTTGAAAGTACTTTATCCATGTAGATATATCTATGCGTAAATTAAATTTCGACATTATCGTTTAATTTACTTCCAACGGTATCATAAAGTAATTATTAGACAATGATTCGTTATTCTATTTTTTCGACACCACTGAACCAATAATTACTTGCAAAGCAACTTTTATCTTAAAGATGTGTTGCAAAATTCATCTTGTTTTATATTTAAAATTACGATTTTCTCTTTTTTATTATACGATAATTATTAAACATTATGGTATACAAGTTTCTTATTACACAAACTTGTTAAGATATATATTTTCAGACGGTACAACTCATTTAACACACCTAATTACAAGTCGTTATAATTACTTTGTTGATACGCTTATAATTAACTCTAACATACCAACATCGCGAAATAAAGTTTCTTGTCACGAAAACACGAAATTTAAGAATAAAGGAACAAGATATACAAGTTAAGCGAAGTTTCGATTAAATAACTTTGATAACGTTCAATAGTACGTTAATTTCGCTATTTCAGTGCATAATTCATTTCAAGTGCAATGGTACGCGTTATCTGTAATTAACGACAGTTATAAACGGCATGAATTTTGAGGTTAGGTATAAAAGGAGGCATGAAGGTACGAAAGATGACACGTTATTGTATTCGTGTTTATTTCTTTTGTTTGAAACGATTCTTCCTTTGTCACGATACGTTGTCATCCATGCCAACCATGTGAATGAAAATGGATCGCATATGATTTGGGAATTCGTGCAATTTTCGCAGAATTATACAGACATTTGCCAGAAACATACATACTGCATATGCATACTTGTTACAGAATATACTGCCGATTATTATCTTTTGATTTGAAATACTTCAAAGTCGTTTCGACAAATTAAACTACTTAGCACGTAGAATCTCTAGGACCATTTAGTCTTCGATATACTTGAAAAATATATAGCGTTTATAAGAGTCTAAGATTAGTAGATCGTAATAACGAATACGATTTGAACAAACGATTCAAATTTCAAATACAAGTTCCCTTCCATTCTTTCTCTATTTCTCACCCAGTGCTGATGCTGATGTTGTATAATGCCGCTTCTGCTTCTACTTCCCATTTTTACGCTGATTACTAAATACGAAACCTGATCCTAAAGAAACCAATTGTAAAAGCTCTCGTGTGTCATATTATGTAAATCAATTCCTTGCTGTTCCCTTCGGAAACTTCAAACTTATATTCTCAATCTGTCTAAAACGATCATTAATTTACCATCGAACCAGCCAATAGATTTCTGAATGTAATTGTAATCGAATTATTAGTTTGATGTTGTTCTGCAAATAAAATTGTTTAGAATCAATACTTTTGGAATTAACCGGACTATTTAATTAACAACCAAAGGCTTTTAACACTACTTAATCTCGTCATAAATTAGCGGAGTTAAGTGAATTTCCTTTTCTCTGATTAACCTTCACATTAAACTTCTTCCAACCCTAATGGCACATTCGGCGATTATGAATTCTAATAAAGACTTTACAATCGGTATATCGTTGTCCTACTGAATCATTTTAAAAAAGACTAACATAATTAATAGTAAAATATAATACGTGTTTTCTTCCATACTGCTGGTACCCCATCTATTTTAGATAAGCATCAAATAGAACTCTGAAAGGACGTAATCAGCTATGGCGTGTAATTGTGTCGTGAAATGTGTAACAATTATTTATCGTTTTCTTTCCACCTCATTGTCCAAGAACGAAGAAGTGACTGGAAATAAATGAACAGATATATCTGAGTGGAAAAATTTGTGAAATGTGTGACAACATGTAAGAGAGATAGTCCAATGAACGATTAAACGATGATTATACTCGTATCGTTTTATATAAGATTGTTAAGTAAGGAGATTTATTTAAAGCCACGATCAACGGAATGACTGTATATTTTTTACGGCCTCGTTATCTTGTAAATTGAAAGCTTTAAGATTTACTTCTCGAAAAAACCAGCACGCGTACACACACGCGCGTCGTTATCAATTATTTTGTACTTTCCAGACATATAGGACTCTATAACTCTTAAGAAACGTGTAATTAAAAATTGTATGTGCATTTATTAGCTCATTAAATACGGTGAAATATCTGAGAGAAAATGGCAGATGTATGTTTACCAACTTGTCACTTTCATTTCACTGATATGGAAATACGTATGTAATTCAAGCTCGCGATAGTGCATGAATATCATAAGTATTCTCTTGGAGAAGAAATTACATCAACTTTTATCCATAGTTTCTCGACACATGCGTAATTTTAACGAGAACGTTACATAGGGTATAAACGTGTTCGATTTTCGGAAACACTGTGTATACATTCCAAGAATTTTGTTTTGTGCTTTGCCTCGGAATAACCTATTTAAAGAAACGAATTTTTTAATGACGATTAAAAATGATTTAAAGAACTGTAAAAATGGCATGAACATATTCTTTACAGGCAGCCGAATATTTGAGTAATCCGAATTTTTCTATTATGTATTTGATTGCTATTACTGAATTTGCAAATTTAGTAGCGTGAATTAGGTATACGCTTCTATAATTAGCATATTGCATTCACAATGAAAGGTGTTAGACAAAGAAACGTATATACAACTTATATGTACGTGTACGTGTCTGCGAGCGTGTGTAGGTGCATGAGGGTGCATGTACGTGCGTGCGTGTATGTTGTATTACACGTATGTATAATTTTTAATGTACATTTGACTTTTTGCATAAGAGAAGGAAATTTTCTTTTCCTTAAATTTATTTGATTTAGTAGGATTTACATAGCGATCTATCTAAACGCAATTGAGTCTATGATTTTGAAGAAAAGTGCGGCAGGTCAGAAATTGTGAATACGAAATCGAAATTGCCTTTGTAACAACTTATGATATTGTTTGGAGACCATTTTTATTTATTCACGATTTCTTTGTTAATCTATATAATATTAATTCTTGTTAATTTAATATTTTTGTTAACATTAGAATTACCAAACTAATCAAAATGATTAATTTAAAACATTTTTTTTCTTGTTAAAAGGACAACGCTACTTTTGGAAAAATTAATGTAATGGGACGTAATTATGTACCGGGTGATTCAATAAGAACTATTATCTAAAATATCACATTGTCTATTTGTTTCATCGAAAAAGTTTTAATTGTATTAGAAGACACTCATGAAACAGTTGCAGCATAATTTTTGTATGTCTGAGTTTTTATGAGATATTAGAATGACCTTGGGGTCGATCTTTGAATGTCAGTGCACATTTTTCCGTTTTTATTTTCAACGACTTGTAACAAACCACGAGTAGATCTTGAATCTCAAAATTAAACGAAATATTGGAATTAGAGAAAAAGTCCATTAATTTCCAAAAAATTCAGTCATCTCGAGATCTTATAAATAAGAAAGATTTTGAAAAAATTAAATTTTATCTATCTATCGAGTGTCTTGAAATACAACAAAATTTATCATCTATTTGATAAAATAAATAGATAACAAGATATCTTACATAATAGTTCTTGTTAAATCACCTAGTGATATATTTTTATAGATATTTTTATATTTTTTTCTAGATATATTTTCTTTTTCAACTACCAATTTAATTAATATTATTTGTGCATACTATATTTAGACGCACATATATTTACTAATAACATATGATTTCGTAGTATCTGAATTTCAAAATGTAATTTAAATGGTACTTAAGACCAGTCGAACCAACTTTTCTTCGAAATCTTGATACTGACACAAATTTGGGGATATCTTGCATCTTGTGTTTATTTAAAAGTGTGTTCTAAATCGTATATCGTCATCGCTTTTGCGTACCTTTACAACCTGTCGGTATCGATTCAAAGTCCTTGGATCACAAGATATAAACTTTGCAAACTTCAAATTACATATATATAAACATCTGATATATAGTCATGAATAAGATGTACTTAATGAAATTAATAGAACTATGATTTATGGTCTCTATTTATAATCCAACGAAGTGAATCTATATTAAGAATAACATTCAGTTTCAGAGCGTGAGGGCGTTGTGATCCAACGATTGATCGTATTTATTATTAAATCAACAGCTCGTCGAAATACGCATCTTGAAACTGACATTTCATTTTGCTGCAGATTAACCTATAACGTTGCATTTATTCGTGTTATTCTGTCGGTATGTATCGTTTCTGAAATGTAAGCACACCGATTGATTAATTTATGTTAATAAACTTGCGTATATCGTGGCACGTGTACAGTATACATATTACGTCAGTGTGAGCATCATACGATGGGTCTATTTGAAAGTAAACACAAGAGAATGCGTCTGAAAAACATTAACCTATGGCGCCACCTATGCATTAATTCACGCTTCCATGAACTACAGGGGGTACGAATTTTGTAGAACACTAATATTGTGAAACTTGACATCATTAACATACGTTATTAATCACGTTGAATGATTATTAATACTCCACTGTTTTCAAGTTCTGAGAACCAAGGTTAAACCTATGAAAGAAAGTAGGATTTATTTTAAAGAGAAAGGAATATTAATTTACACTTGATAAGCCACAAATGCATCACTTCAGTCGTCATTTTTATTCTTCGCGAGAGAAATACGAAAATTGTAACGTTAGAATTGCACAAATATTCATGAAGAATTTATTATTTTATTGTGAATTGAGTTTCCTTTAAGTCGACATTAAATAATATTAATTTCTTTTTTAGACATCTTTAAATCATCCAATATATGATATATCGTACACATAGAAATGCTTCGAAAGCTGAAAATATTTCGATATAATTCCAGAAGATTCTTATGAAAATAATCTTACTCTCCTAATTCTGCCCATAGACGTGTATGGTCTAATAAAAACTAATGTGTATGCATTACGTTAGCACTTTTCAATATTCCGTTTAAGCAGTCAGACATACATATTTTACTCGTAAATGGTATGCACCATGAAAAAGAAAAGGAGATACATAACTCATCATTACTAATATTATTATGATAATAAACATCAGTATGCTCTAAATGTATTATCATTATTGTTGTTGTTGTAATCATTATTATTATTATTGCTATTATTATCATTGTTGTTGTTACTGTTATGACTGTTATCATCATCATCACCATCGTCATCGTTATTATTGTTATACTGTAATTGTCATCTTTTTACCAGAATTGCTGTCCCTTCTATGTTCCTCCTTCGCCGTTAACGATGCCATATTAATATTCTGTTTGTTCTGTAATAATGGCGTGAATGTGTATGACTTTGTACGTGGAAATGTAATGTTAACAGTTCGGTCGTCTTTATGGTGTATAGTGGACCTATAAAGAAACGCACGTTTGCATAACTGTTTCATCTCGCCAACTGGCCTGCCGTTTAAGTCGGTAAAGGGTTGAACAACAATTGCAGCAAGCCCCAAAACCTGCTCCATGTTCTGCTCCTCTTGATCCCTCTCTGTGTCTCGTGTACGTACGTTTTCTCTGGCCAATGAAGGAAATCGCGAAAGCCCGGTTTCCGCAGAAAACATTTAACTCGAAGTTCTTCCCCGAGCAAATAAATGCAAACATTTACCTACTTTTTCTCCTTTACAGGCGTGTCTGGTGGAAACTACCAGTCACGAAGTGCTGTTTTAAACGGCACCAGTATAATAGTAGACTAGTTAGTGATTAATTATCTACTAATTGAATTCTGACACTCCTTGCCGGAAATTTAAAAGAGGACTTCAAGTTAGCCATGGGGAAGCAGAACAGCAAACTGAAACCGGAAGTACTAGAGGACCTTAAGCAGACCACCGAATTCTCAGGTAAATTTACAAAAATTTCTACATTTTCTTTTTCTTTTTTCCTTATTTTTTAACATGCAAATTTTTGATAATATATGTAATATAATAAAACATGTCTATGGGTATCTGTTTAAGTAAGACAGGATTAATTAAGGTAGATGCGTGAAATTATTTTAAAATGTTCTACGTGTTAACTGTATTTCATTGTATTATTCGTATTCTATACAGGGTGTCCCAGCAACGGTAGTACAACCGAGAAGGTGGTGATTCCACATGAAAAAACAAATCGAAAATAAAGAATAAAATTTTTTCATTCGAAACTTCGTTATCGAGAAAATCGACGTTGAATATTCACCTAGTACGCGTGCACTTAACTTTGACTAGGCGGATGGACCATCGGTATACCAGAGTACTCCGTGAATATTCAAAGTCCATTTTCTCGATAACGAAGCTTCGAATGAAAAAATTTCTTCCTTTATTTTCGTTTTGTTTTTTTCATATAGAATCACCCTCTTCCCGGTTGTACTATCGTTGATGAGACACCCTGTATATTAATATTATTCTGAAATTATTGTTCTCGGTGGACACAAAAGCGTTGATAGGTTTTGATATAAATGAAAAGATCGTTCTATTTTATAAGAAATAATTTATTATACATATTTAGTATTTATTATATTGATATATTCTACAGAAAAAAGTTATTTGTATTATATTTTGAATTATACATAGATCAAATAACATTGTATTGTATAAACAGTCCAAAAACTCCAAAAATTAAATACCAATCTTAAATATTTACTTTAAAATTAAATATTTGATGAATTCAAAATTTCTTATGAAAAAATTAATTTAAATTTATTTTGTAGTTTTTCTTAGACTATAACTCAGGCAGATTCTTTTAATCTAGTAATATCAAGCTAATGAGAATATGTGTTTCTCTTTAAAGATGCTGAAATTCAAGAATGGTACAAAGGATTCTTAAAGGATTGTCCAAGTGGACACCTCAGCGTTGAAGAATTTAAAAAGATATACGGGAATTTCTTCCCTTATGGCGACGCTTCCAAGGTAAATTCAATTATTTATTTATAAAATATAGTGAAAATCTATTAATACAGTGAAACCACCATATTCTCATATTCACGACATAGATCGAATATAATCCTCTTGCTAAGGACTCCAAAATCTCGACGAATTAAATTTATCAAGATTATGTACTGTACAAAGTTAGTAAATTGGTAGTTGGAAAGAACAATAGATCCATCTTCTGCAACACACTCATAAATATAGGAATTTTCATTACTGTTTGGAACTATTACATTTTGAAATAAAGTAATATTGAATCATATACGCCAATATTAAACTATTTTCATAATTCATAATTATAATTATGAACGAAGTCTAATTATAAATAAAAAATTTAAAGGAAATGAATTTTTCAATTACCTTGGATTGCATTCATTTACTGTACTGCACTTATTTTGTATTACATCCATCTATAATGTAACACTATTTTTGCAATGTAGGAAAAAATTAAAACCGATAGATCGAGTTTGTAATTGTATCAAAATTAATTTTTTCGTATTTGCGAACGGCAAACTTCTTGCAAATTTCTAATATTTTGAAGAAAAATATACGTGACTTAGGTTACAAATTTATTTATTTATTTGATAATAATTTACGAGTAATAGAACCTATTAGTGTATAAACAAAAAATAAAAATACATCAGTTTGTTAGAGAGAGAAAGAATATAGGTTACGTATGGCATAAATGCCGATATAGTCGATATAAACAATTTGCTTAGAGCTTTAAGATCTGGTTTTTCAACGAAGAGATACTATTGCCAAAAAATTGAAGGTTTGATGAGAAATTGTTTGCAAGAATGCATATTCTATCGATAGGGACTGCTGATTCAAGTAGTGCAGTATTATGCTGGTCAGGTATAAAAATTTGGAAGTCTTTTAAATTTCTTAAAGGAGCATGAAAATTAATAAAAAATCATAACTAAGTACAGAGAGTGAATCATCGAGATCAATGTTAACCTTTTGCACTCGGGAGACATTCTTCAGTCACCATTTGATAAAATTTCGAAGATCAATATTAATTAATATGTCAAATTTAAAATAATGTGACGATGTGAGAGGTATCGAAATCAAATATAATTGTTGCGACGGCAATAATACGTGGAAGACGCGTCTCGCCGTTCTTCTTGACGATCAAAAAATTATAAAACGAGACATCAGACGATCGTGAGAAATCAAACAAAACACATCAGATGACGTAAGACGGTTTTAGAGCTCAGACAAGACACGACAGACGTGAACTAGAACTGGAAGATGCAAGACGTAAACGGAAGACGGAAAACGAAAGGAAAAACGGCAAGGGAGAAGACGATACACCACACACGCACCAATCACACACACTCACATCATAATCGTAGAATAAAGCGTAATTACAACCAGCAATCTGCGCTTTATTACCACCTAAGTGCTCAGTGTCTCGTAAGGGATTCGGCACACTGAGAAAAAGGGGCATCACAAGTATACCACACGCAGCCCCCTCCGCGTGGGGCTCATCCACATCCACGTGGTGCAACAATAATAATCCTACGTGTTAACTATTATACGATTCGATTTCGACTGCTGAGAAAAACATCGTCAGCTTTTTAGCAGAAAATCTTTGAACTGCTACTCTTCTTTAGCCAAAAAATCGTCGAGTGCAAAGGGATAAATATCAATGTTATCGGATCAATATTATCAATGTTAGCTATTTAGCATAAAGTAAAACAAGTAACGATGTAACTGATTCTATTACTACAAAATATATCGTCAAGAGCTCAAAAATATTGATTTCAAAACTATAAATTCACCAGCCACGTACAGTATATGATGCTTGTAATGGTTAAAGTGTACTAACACTCTTAAAGAAATCATACATTCAACTAATACGATGTATCATACATTAGTCGTGTAATGATTGTCATATTTTATTATTAAATGTATTTCATTATTAACTACAGTCGATTCAAATGATATAACGAGGTCGTAAGATCAGTCATGCATAACAGTACGAATGTTTCAATTTCCAAAACTCCAAAACAACTAAACCCATTCAACCGAAATTACGAGGCCAATTCATTGCATGACTCGAACTACTTCTAGGAGTTTGACCAGTGTTGGGCAGTAAATCAGATTATCGTGACTGATTACTGAAGGTATTCATAATAACCATCGTCATTAATCATGTAATCATCGTGGAATCGTCTAATTAGCAGAAAATCTTTGAACTGCTACTCTTCTTTAGCCAAAAAATCGTCGAGTGCAAAGGGATAAATATCAATGTTATCGGATCAATATTATCAATGTTAGCTATTTAGCATAAAGTAAAACAAGTAACGATGTAACTGATTCTATTACTACAAAATATATCGTCAAGAGCTCAAAAATATTGATTTCAAAACTATAAATTCACCAGCCACGTACAGTATATGATGCTTGTAATGGTTAAAGTGTACTAACACTCTTAAAGAAATCATACATTCAACTAATACGATGTATCATACATTAGTCGTGTAATGATTGTCATATTTTATTATTAAATGTATTTCATTATTAACTACAGTCGATTCAAATGATATAACGAGGTCGTAAGATCAGTCATGCATAACAGTACGAATGTTTCAATTTCCAAAACTCCAAAACAACTAAACCCATTCAACCGAAATTACGAGGCCAATTCATTGCATGACTCGAACTACTTCTAGGAGTTTGACCAGTGTTGGGCAGTAAATCAGATTATCGTGACTGATTACTGAAGGTATTCATAATAACCATCGTCATTAATCATGTAATCATCGTGGAATCGTCTACTTGTCTCGGACTATATCTGCAATCATTAATCAGTAATTTATAATCATTTAAATGCTTATCACGTATTCATATTCATTATATATTACAATGAAATCCAATGTATACAGAAATATATTGTTCATATTGTTCATCAAAATGACGAATGTTCATAAATTTCTTCATATCAATTACGTAACAATGACAAATGCATCGAAGGCACATAAATTATCAGATGACACATTCGAAATGAAAGTTGCATTGAAAAGTAATTTTTTTACGTTTCAAATCTAAATCATGCGTGTCTATATGATATACAAAAATATATAAATATAATAATTAATATACATCGTTGGAAAAAGTTGAAAGTTTATTGTTTCAATTGAAATAAATTACCGATTTCATCATAATCAAAAATATAACCTCGTGATTAACGGTTATCGAATTACAAAATTATGATTTTGATTGCTCTTGATGATTATTAATTACCTAATAATCAGTAATTATGACTATTAACCCTTTGCACTCGAGAGGCACCTCTCAGACGCCATTTAATCAAATTCTAAAGATGGATGTTAATTAATATATCAAATTTGTAATTACCCAGCGATGCGTGGAATATCGAAGCAAAATAACTTTACGTCTTAATTTACATACGATTTCTTATTTGTTATTTTAAAAATGTCGTTGACTCTATGGCAGGAAGTCTTCGAATTACTATTTTTCTGTAACGAAAAAATCGCCGAGTGCAAAGGGTTAATATGATCTTACATTTATTAGTCGTTAATAACTATCAATCATTAATCAGATTACGTTTTGCCCAATTCCGAGTTTGACTCGTGATACATAATGTAAACTAAAATGAGCTCCTATTTTTAAGCCACTTTGCATCTACATACTCACATGCAGCAAGTAGATACACGTATCATGTGGAGATCCATATGAAATGCTAGACAAATGTCACAGTTCATCTACACGTGGCATAAAATAAATGACAGTTGAATGGGTTAAGATATTTTGAAAAGATAAAGGAGCTAGAACATCTATCAATGCCATACGATGTCGATTTGGAATGGACCTTTTCGTTACTGATCTGCTGACGCAGCTAACAACGATTTATGAAAAGTTGAAATTCTCAATGAAGAAATTTTACATTCGATATTGAACAATTTCTTTTCCTATTTTACTATTTAATTAATTAATTTATTTTATTATTTATTTTTTACTAAATATCAGAGGCTACAAATTGCGAACGGTCCTAAGTGTTAACATCTAAGGTATCATTTCATCACGAATCGTTGTTACATGTAAATAGTTCATGACCTTGCTATATTGCTCGAACCCGACCATATCAATAAACTACAGTTATCTAGTTCAGTATTATTAACGAAAAAGTTTGAAACTGAATAAAAACTGAACCTTCGTAAATATAGAGGTTTCACTGTATCAGCTGAAAAAGATTCATTAATATCGAATCCATCTTTCCTCGATTGTCAGGAACAACCGCTTCGCGTGAAAATAAATGCAATTCTTGTAACTTCTATTTCCTCTCGGTACTATTGACGCAACCGAGATTCGTACGAGCTACTTGCTGGGCTATGTTTAAATTTTACAATGACGTAGATTGTTACGACTGGAAGATTTTCCACGTCGAATAGTTGTGTCTTCAGCCTCTAAAGTGAGTTAATTCAACGTAAGGTAACCCACGTCAACTGGTTCGTGCGAAGAAATTATTTAATCGGTGAAGAAAGCCACCCAGTGCCAAGGATTCGTGCAAACTTAACAATAGTCCCTGTCTAGCGACCCCTTTATTCTTAGGTATCAATGGAACAATGGAATCGCCACAGGCTAGGAACTGCAAGGACATAGACATGCACGCGTGGCCTTTAAGCCTTGATTCTTATTCAAGTTCTTGTAACAGAAATCACCACACAGGATCTGAACGAGACATTCATGGATTGAGTTCATGAGAAAGATTCAATAGTGTGTCGTTAGTATAGTGCAGGACTGGAAAAAGTTTCGCGGAAAAGCACAGCAGCTGTTTATTTATAGTTTTCGCTGAACATGCTGACATAGTGGTTGATACCGTTTTTACCTTATGTTAATGACTAGTATTGATCCTGTGTCTATACCACTGGTTTATATCGTTCATCTGAAAAAGATATATGTCAGTATAAGCAAGCCTGCATTCCTTTTTCCAACGCTGCACAGTATTACAAAAGTTAATAAGAAGTTTGCTATTGGTTCATGACATCTTCCAAATTAAAATGTATCCAAATGCTGATTCGAAAAATTCGAGGTGTTCACTATGTTTTAAATAAAAATTTATTCTACACGATTGAATTGTCCATGTATGATATCTTTAAATTTCAGAATGATTAACGTTAGTGCAGGAAAGGATGGACTTTATTAAAAAACAATGCTGTTATATTTATAAAAGAAAAGATCTTATTTGGTTATAAAATATTTCTAAAATATTTCTAATAAGATATTCTATATATTATTCTATATATTTCTAGTAAGATATTTCTTAGATCAGGCTTGTGGATATAATGGATAGTAATCATATTTACAAGGAGACCCTACGTTTGTGGACATCGCTTTTGGAACAGTAGCAGGTATAAGTTATACTACATACCTAGTATTGAAAAACCTTAATGTGTTTCTTCATGGTGGAAAATCAAAATATTTCGGAAAGGAAGGTACACCATGAAGAAACCCATTAAGGTTTTTCAATACTAGGTACGTAGTACAACTTATACCTGCTACTGTTCCAAAAGCGATGGTGGAAAATCAAAATATTTCGAAAAGGAAGGTCCACCATGAAGAAACCCATTAAGGTTTTTCAATACTAAGTATGTACTATAACTTATACCTACTACTGTTCTAAAACCGATGTCCACGAACTTAGGGTCCCCTTGTTAGTAAATATAATATTTATGACAGTAAATAACTGCGTTTAATAATGACGATGAAATTTCCTTCGTGATTAAATAGTCCAAGTGAATTTAAAATACATTTTGATTCAACTTAAATTAATCCCATTGGATTCGCCATTTGGATTCATTTTAATTAGAAAAACGTCATCGTTGCGTTCATTTTACCGGCTTCAGTTGTACTCACAGAATTCTATAAATCAAAATTTGCCATGGATTCCTGAATGTCGACTTTGCTCACTCAAACATTTCAATATCACCAACATGTTACTACAGTACTAAAAGAAATTCGTATATTATTATCCAGTAATTAATATATTTTATTGTCCAATTATATTTTCTGATGATCAACACATTCGCAACTGATCACCTTCTCATTTCTCTAATATTAAAAATCGATTAAAGGAAGGAAATTCAAAAACTGATTATCTCATATTTCTGTCATTGAGACAAAGATAAAAATTACAAAAATTCTTTTAAAGGATCGGATTTGTAAGAAAATGCTCTTTAAGCTGAAGCTATACTAACAGTTTGAACTAAAGCTATATTAATCTATATATTTTATTTACATTAAGAAATTGCTGTATTAGATATGATTATACTTTAAATGATATTCCTTGTATTTATCATTTGCTTATATATAGGTATAGGCAATTATTCGGCATATTTGATTATCTTGCACTAGATCAGTCTCAAGTTTAATATGAATTCGCATCATCAAGGTGACCAGAAAAAGAATCATAAATGGCGTGAATTTACATTAGCGGTTGCGACTGTGTTAAGAAATTCAATGTTATTTACAATGTTACAATAATATTTTATAATTTCCGGTAAAAACTAATTGACAGTGTTGTTCATTACTGAGCAGTCATCTTAACCGGTTATCAGTAATGAGATTTGAGATTACCTATATTACATCGCATTTCTCACGTTTATATGATGCACAGTTTGCAGAGCATGTGTTCAGAACATTCGACGTGAACGGAGATGGGACAATCGACTTTCGAGAATTTTTATGCGCCCTCAGTGTAACATCTCGTGGCAAACTGGAACAGAAGTTGAAGTGGGCCTTCAGCATGTACGATCTCGATGGTAATGGTTATATCTCGCGGCAAGAAATGCTGGAAATTGTGACGGTAAGGGTGAATCCGTTAGGAGGATATATCACTGACAACGCAACTAAATTACGTGCTTTTTAAAAAAGCAATCAAAATTAAATATCGATTGAATGGCTTTTCTTCTTTTTTTTAATGAAACAGAACTTGCAATCGGGAACATTGTGCAATCTTAGAAAATGTATATATTTTGTTAGCAATTTCTGTTAAATATCACTGTTAAATAGAATTATAATCCAAAAATAGTTTACCAGAAAATAATATCTTAATTTATTTTAATTGTCAATGGAAGACGTAAATCAGAGTTTCATAATTTTTCAAATATTAAAGACGCAAGACAACAATTCACATCTTATACGTGAATAATAATTTTTAATCAAATATAATTGCTATATCATTAATAATATAATGTTAATATCAATATTATGTTAGTATTAATAAACACAATTATTATTAATAAAAATACTAAATATTAAATTCTAAAATATTAAAATATCTTCGTTTATATTGGAATATTATATGAAATATCTTTCATTGTACGTTCAAATTACGACTCATACACGACCATTCTCCTCATCGCTATTAGACCAAATTTCGCTACATATTTAAAGAATTAAATTATCTTCTTAATTTCTTACGTCGAATATCGCGTAAACCATTGATGTTTTGCATAAAACAGGCCGTTTTAATAATACATAAAAAAGAAACATTCACGAAATATCTCATTAATTATCAATTGATACATCATTGCAATCTTATTAGTATCTTGAATCGTATCTTATAAACATTGACAATAAACATAACGTAATCTATCCTTAGCTCATCCATAACATGAAATGTATCATAAAATGATATTCCATAGATTGTCGTATTTGTCTAAAACAGGGATTTTTCAACTTTTTCGTTTCACATACGCATAAACTAATTAATAAAATTCTGGAACACAAAAATGTACTATATATTCTTTGTTGATATGACAAAAAATAATTATAATTTTCACTAATTGTTAAGAAAAATTAACAGAAGCAACTATTGATCACTCCCTCGTTGTTTTATTTGATAATTTAAGATAAAAGGAAGCACATATCCCGATTGAATAATAACTAAATAAGTTTTAAAAATTTTCACGATACCTATAAAAATTCTTGTCATGTGACAATATGTCACGGCCCACTAGTTGCAAATCACTGGTCCACAAAGCCATCACCAAAAAATTTAAAAAAAAAAGACTTATTGTCCCATTAAAGAAAAAAGTAATTATCTGTACATCTTCAAAATGTTTTTATATAAAAAGAAAATTGTTATCATATAAGCACTTCAATGCCATACAGTTTTTATCATACAAATTGTTATGCTATTGAGTGCATATCAAGCGTTTATATCTTCCTCTTCTTTCTTCCCATTTATAAAAAAAAATGTTCTTCATTGCATCCCTAACATCGTATATTTAAAAAATTAGTAAAAGAAGAAAGAATTTAGTTGCTTGAAAGTTTATTTGTGATATATCCTCTTAAACTCGTATCTCCGTTTGAATTCATCTGTAAAATGATATTTCTGAATACTCGCTTTACTTACTCTGAAAATTTTACTTATCAGGCTATCTATAAGATGGTGGGTACCGTAATGAAAATGCCCGAAGATGAATCCACGCCAGAAAAAAGAACCGACAAGATATTTCGACAGATGGATAAAAACAAGGATGGCAAATTGTCCCTCGACGAATTCTTAGAAGGAGCAAGAAGTGATCCGTCTATCGTGCGACTATTGCAGTGCGATTGTAGTGCACAAGCTCAGTGAGGCCCTGGGCTATTACGCAAGTATTACTGTGTCATCTATATAACTAAATCGGGACCCGGTCCGATAATGTCCACTGAAAATAAAATAAATAGGAAAATATTACGATCATAAAGAGTATCTGTTTGAAAAATTCACTGGAAGAACAATAAAAACTTACTTTGGTGACCTTGCCTTACATCTGTTTATCTTTTTTCTGGTTTTTTCAGAAAACCAATCGTATTTTAATACCAGGAAGAAATATAGATCAGTGAGCTTGAATAAGTGATATGCTTTTGATTTGATTTTGAAGTATGTTGTAGAAGACAAAATTTTGGATAACCTTTATTTAAACAATAATTCCCGCTTAACCTTATTTTTCGAGATGTTTGCAAAAATTGTTCAAGGCTGCCTGTGCATGTATCGTGGACACGTGACAGGCAAGTGTATACAATGGGTGACTGAAAAAAAAGTTTCAAATCGACATTTAATAAAGTGAATCGTTGAAATCGATCAAATTTAATCCTTTTGTCCACCCATTATATACATTAGACGAGCGGCGATTCTTTGCAAACGCAACGCATCCATGACACATCTATAGGCAAAGTTTAATGTAGCAGAATCAACAATTCTTACAAATATCTTGAAAATTAAGCTTGAGCGGTAATTATTGTTCAGAATCTCGTCCACTATAACAAACTTCAAAATCATCGGGATAAGTTCACATATTTTATAGATCTTTAAATTTTATGTTCTTTTATCAAAAGATAAGAAAATTACATTATTTCTTCGAATTCCCCGATCAATGTTTCTTTCTAATACTGAAATACAACTTTTTTTGAAAACACTAGATGAAATAAACACATTTAAGGAAAAGTCATTAAAGTCAATTTTTACCGGAAAATCTACCAAAACGGTCGTATTACTTTATTTCTCTTTTCCTGGCTAGTAACTTTCATTTTCTGCATTGCTGAATTATGTCATTATAACAACTTTTAGTTTTGTACGTGACAAACAATGAATAAAACCTGAAACAAGTTTCCATGTGAAATATCTTTATGAACGTAATTATTACTCGTAAATATGAATGGTAGAAATAAGGGACATTTGTAAATTGGGCCGGTATCCGAATAAGTCCAGGGTCTCCGAGCCCATGGCGCTTGCGCATACCGCAAGCTAGTCTACAAGACTAGTCCAGTCGCTCCGTCTTGTAAACGGATCGGTTTTAACACAAGAAGTTTCATATATTTCGATATTTTATTAAATTATTCGATCCTCGTGTGCTGCGTACGGACGAATGACCTTGTAAAACTATCTCGGGACGTATAGGAACCCAAGAAAGTGTTTTGATTTATAACCAAAATTGAGATTCTACGTTGTATGACATAACCTCGACACTGTCGATGATTCTTTGACATTTCGTGTTACGTTTTCCTTTGTTGCCGTTATTTTATTACAATAATGAGTAGATTCTTTGCGTGCTTTTTGATTCTATGAATAATTGCCCTCAATTATGTAAAGTACCTACAGAAATTTTTTTACGAAAATTCAGTTTTACTAAATGATATATTGTAAATGTGTACATTTGTTTTCAATTATTATTGAGTTTTTTAAATATAGAATGGTATAGTATATCTATAGTTATGTATACTGAATCTTGTCTCGTTTTCGCGGTCCTCAGTTATGGTTATAAATAATGCCTTCATCGACATGTTTTCGAGCTGTCGTTCTTAGCACAAGTCACCGCCATACGCAGCTCAAAGGTAAATTAATTTCTAAATGCGTTACATGATTTTTGTAAGCTGTTTGCAAAAACATATTTTATATTACACGATAGTAAACGTTCAACAATTTAGCGAAACGATTTTGATTTTTCAATACACGCTGTCATGAAACTATTAATTATAAAAAAGACTTATTTGCGTGGTATCGTACTACGTTAGCAACGAATGTAAGCAATTAATGGTCATCGAAATAACAAAGGTCATTGGAAAGATATATAACTACAAAAAAGTTCTTGTTCAACGAAAAATTATTTTGACAGAATGCATGTATTCGATAAGATATATGTAAAGTTTTGTTCATCTTTATAGATATATGAGACTTGCTCAAATAACCATTATTTTTTATTTTAATAATAAGTAATGAAAATATATGATAAAAGACTGTGAAGTATCGACATATTGGCATATTAAGGTTATTTGAAATATCATACATAATAAAATATACTTATTTTATAAATGTTAAACTTATTTCCTATGTTTAATAGAAAATAGTGTATTGTGACATAATGATAACAGGAAAAAAGTTCATTATAACCATATTATAATCTCTATGAATAGAAATTAATTTAAATAATTAACAATAATTTTTGTAAAATCAGATGTCTGTTCTAAGAGTTTATTCCCCTCCTATGACCTTTGTTATAATTGCTTTATTAATACATGTTACTTTTGATAGAATAAATTCAGCTAGAAAAATAGAGTAAAATTAACTAGCTTCTCGTAAAAGAAGGAAAAAATGTAAAGAATCATTGCCTATCCAAGTAACTGAACTAATTACGATTTTCAGTTGCTTTCAAGCTACTGAAAACCTATCAAGATTTCGAGCCGAAAAGAAGATTTGGAAAAATATGAGAGAAAAGAAATGAAAGGACGAAGAAAAGAAAATAAAACGATTAAGAAAAAGGCGAAAGATATAACGCTCACGCGCATGAACTGTTTTAGAGATTTATTTTTGCGAATACGTATGCCGCGTGTACGTGTGCGAACATGCTATGTGTGCGACTAAGTATTTTAATGTGTATTCGCGCGTATGCATACGAATAGTAAGAAAGCAGATAATAGTGAAAGATAAGAAAAGATAATGAAACACAGAAATTTATATAAAAACGATAACAAACATAGTTTTAAAAACAAATGCAAAAGAGAAATAGCAAAGTAACAAAAAATCTCCCATTAGCTATTGTTCAATTAGGATTAATTATTTTAACACACACTACATATATGTATACGCGACATTGTAATTCTGTTCATTTTTTAATGGTGATACAACACAACTTATTAATTCTTTAATTATAATATGATTAATTAATCGATTCATAATCAATTCATTTTTGATTAATTAAATGTACATAACAAATATACATATTTCAAAATATGTATAGGAGAAAAAGATTTTATATGTGTGTAAATTGCAACTTGCAGATTAACAAATTTTGAAGAATTCATTGTTACTCTTTATCCTGTTTTCTTATTATACATGAAAAGATGCAACTTCTAATTAAACAATTTTTTTGTTCTTATCGTTAGTATCACTGAAAAAAATGGCGAACATATGTCATGATTTTGCACTTGGTCGTTACACTAGCAGTATTGTTTTACAGAAGAGCAACGTATTATAAAGATACAAATACGTATATATACTTGTCATATATACGTACAAAGTTAACCACAAAAACAGAACTTCTAAATATCTTTATTAGGATTTAAAATAAAATAAAATTTCAAAACAGAAGTTGTACTGTTCAAGGTAGTATATATGGTAATATAAACAAATTGTTGGTTCGCCAGTATTTTGAAGATTATTTCGATATCATTTTACATGAATATACTGTATGAGTATAATATAACTTTGAAGTAACTGGATTCAGAAATGTAAATTCAATCATCACATAAGATCTAATAATTTTTTTTGTTTAGTTAATTTCCCACAATAAGTATTATCTTCAATCTTTTACAGAAAAAAATGAAGTTGTCATTGTATTGATCTATTACATGCAATTGGAAATTTTTCTACTACAAATTTTGTGCTGTATAGAATGAATATATAAGATAACTATCATATTAAAATGATATTTAATGAGTATCTAAAAATATATTTTCTAAAAAATTCAATAAAATACCTTGTAGAAATACAATACATATCATTATGTTTAAAATAACAGAAGTAAAGAAAATCCAGTTATGTTATTGTTAAGAATTCTGCAATTCATCTGCCTTTACTAATCAATTTGTCACAACTATTAAACTACAATGTTTCTTAAATTTATTTTACCATGATTGGTGTAAATAGTTTCATCAATAATGAATATATTATCGATAAATTATGACTTGCTAACTTGTTTCAAATCCCACTAAATCCCATTATAAAAACATTAACATGATTTTCAACATCTCTTTCCTAATATTTCTAATAAAATAATATTCATATCTATAGAATATTTGATTATATAATATCACTTTCTCTAGCAGTGTATGTAATACTAATGTGCAAAATCACTAAAATAAGAACATTGGTTGTTTTATTTCTCACTTTTATAGTTTTGTTATTCATTATATTATCAGTTTCTTGGAAGTTTATATTTAAATTAAAATAAACAAACAAAGAAAAACAATTGCAATTAATTGAATTTTTATACAGTTTGGCTGCACTTTTAAGATACATGATTTTCACCATAAAGCTAAATCAAATAATCTTTTCTATCCTTTCAATAACATTTCCTAATCATATTTATGAACTTTCATCTTCTGTTAATGACATACGTATTATTAGTACGAATAAAATCTGTTTTAAAAAAAACTAAATTTTACATATTTATATCTTCATTGACTGAATTCAGATTTCTAAATTCAAGAGCACAGCATGTATTGTGGAATTTATTTTGACATTACTGATAAAATTATGAAATTAAAAGTACATGATACTATTTGAAATAATATTGATAATTTTCAAATATCCTTGAAAATGAGATCAAATGATAAATTTATTTATATTATCACAATTATCATCTTGAACAGTACAATCTTTGACTTAGATATTTTCTTCTATCTTAAATCCCAAAGATATTTTAAGTATTGAGTTTCTTATGACTAACTCAATGTGTGTATGTGTGTATATTTATATATGTATCTGTATCTGCATATATACCTATTATACTTTCTAAGATGTACATTCATTCATCTTGTGCTCATTAATAATTAAGGATAAAGACTACATAGTTATATCTTTTATCCATATAGTCACTGTATAAATTAAATAACTTCATTAAAATTAATATATAAGATTCTAAAATAAATCTTGAATTTTTCTCGCTATTCGATAGAAAAAAAAAATAGTAACATGAAAGGAAAGAATTAGTAATTATAAACAAAATGATGACCTTGCCTTCTGAAATATTCAAAAACAAAGAGAAGGGAAATGAAGAAAATTCTATTTAGATAAAGTAGGATCAATATTTTACATTCAATACTAGTTCAGTCAAAATATAATTATAGTACCTTAAACCAGGAGAAGCAATAAGCAAGAAAAAAAAACAAAATATTGCGACTAAATTAGCACGATTTTAAAAAAATCGGTGATGTCGTGTAATTTTTATAATTTCACCGTCGCCCAGTATTTAACAATTTTCTAACAGTTTTTTTATGAAACGAACACATAAGATGGATATTAAGTCGTGTCAATTCGTCAAAACACGAGTAGTATTAGTCAGTTAATATAAACTAATACATTGAAAAATAGAAGGAAGAAACATTTTATGATAAGAATTAAAAATTATTAAATTATATGTAATTAAAAACTTCTTTAAATGTACCATTGTATATATTAATTCTTTCTTCTTATTACGTATTCTTCCTTTAATTTATTCAAGAAAATTCTGTTTTCTATCTTATACTTTCTAATAATTTTAACATTAAATTATTATTTTCAACTTATATTATTTTATATAATTAGATAATATTAAATTTATATATATAAATGATTTTTTGTTAATTTATTTTTAACTTAAATGATAGTTTTCATTAGTTACAATATAGTATTAGCAAAAATTTTAATATGATATTTTGTTTACACAATACTTATTAAACCGCATATTAAATAAATAACTAATTGACAACAAACTAACAAATGTATGCACAAAATAATTTCAACAATGAAAATGTATGTGTTTAAATACACAATTATCGGGAATGTAACAAGTGTACATAAATATATTATATTATATTGTAGACATGATAATCATAAAAAGACAGATGCAACAAAAGCAATTACTTTGAGTTTAATATTTTTTTTCCGTACTAGATATGTATGTACAATTCTATTCCTGTTAATGGCACAATACTTATCAATTATTTTCAATTATTACGCTTTCAAATATCAAAGGAAAGAAGATTTTTTGTGGTTATTAAAAATCAAAACATAAAAGTTCTTAATGTCTGTATGAAAATTTTTATTTGTGTTTGCTGAATATCATGATTATAAAACAAGTTTTTATAAATTTTTGAAAGATAGAATATTCTTGAAACCCTTATAGGTGTAATTATAAATTTCATTGAATTTATTTTTTACATTAAATTTTTATTCTGTTTTTAATAATATATTAAATTATAATTAATTTGTTAAAATAACAAATATAAGAACATATTTAGGAGAAAAAGAATTAAATTAAAAATATACCTCCTGTAAGAAAATTTATGCGGATAAATAATAGAAAGGAAAAAATAATACTACAAAATGAGCATAAAAAAATAAGTTACAAATGTTTAAACATTTGAGAATTCTTATGAAATAGTGTTATACCTTTTTGTTTTTTTATATTAAGTATTAAATATATTGTATGTATATTAAATAACGTGAACTTTGTACAAATTAATTTGACAAAAAAAAAAAAAAATATCAGTAATGAAAGTAAAATTATGACTATTAAGGGTTCCTTTAATAGAGTTAAAGAAAAGTGTATCTTACAAACGTTCATAGATATAATAAATTTTGTTGAATTTATTGCTAAAAATTCTTGATGCTGCTACACTATACTGAGTTATTATAACTCAAGTCAATTGAAACACAACATACTATTGTTCAAATATACATTACATATTATTGTTGAATAAATAACACTTTTATGAATTTCTATACTGGCATAGTGCATTGCAATTAGTAAAATCGATGTAGGATTTACTGCTCGTGTTTGTCGTGATATTTCTTCCCAAACTGTATAGTTTCTTCCTAAAAATAAGATGTATAAAATTCAAATCTACTTTCTAATAATTTTATCATCTATCAATGATACTTCCTGATTTGATGTTTAAAAAGAAATGAAGTTAATGCCAGAACAATATAATAATCTCAATATTTAGCATGCAAGCAAATAACTTTTTCCTTTCTAAACAACTTTAATAAATGTCAACATTTGTTGCATACTGAAATTTCTCTATACTATATTATGATTTTTGCCTAAGATTTTAATATTCCTAATTAATTAAAGATTGTTCTCTAGAGTATCAACAGTATAATGGATTACTAATATTTCTTCTACCAAGAATTTATCACAAAAAATCTAGTAGTACTTCTAACAGATATAGTTGGTCTTAATAACTCATGCCTTGAAAATTTTCTGCACTTATCAAAATTTTCTGATACTTATCTTAATAATGATTACAATGGAGTCGTATAGTTTCATGATTTTATATATTAAAAGTTACTTATATGTATATTTGAATAAAATAATTTTTTATTTAGAAATGATATTTCTAAATCAAACAAAAAGATATCCACTGCTTTTAATAAACAATATAAATCAATAGATCTGTAATATGTAAGTAAATATGAAAATTCAAGAGTAATTATATAAAAAAATTCAAATCACTTATTATTATGCAAGTATTTATTACCCTGATAAATTATAACAGTATATAAACATAATTTTTGTAGGATAAAAACTCAAATCAATAAATAAACTATACGGCTCAGATTTTAAAAAATAAGAAAGTTAATAAATGAAATCCTTAAAGTGCACGTCACAAAAATTGTAACCCTCTACCGGTGTTTCTCTCATAGACTAAGTATAGTAGATGTTCTCCTATTGATATCAATGTTGTATTCTTCTTTTGCCAATTTGTCGCTTTCTAACAATGACTCTGTAATTTTTTATAATTCTTGATGTCTTCAAAAGTTGAGTACCTTTAAGATCTTTCATCTATTTCTCTTACGTAGAATTTCACGACGTTTAATTACCTATGACTCAATATTTTTTACCACTGAAAAATTACTAACAAATTCAGTTTGAGTCTACATGTATTTATTGGTGCTAAGTGTGTATGTGAAGTACAAAATATATATTATTGGTATTGTGTTTATCATTATTATTAAGATCATTTTGTCGAACTTTTGCTTAATCACTTCTGTATCAAAATCTTTGTCGTAAAAAAAATCTATGTAAAACGTTGGTTATTAAATACAAATAAAAATTTAACTGAAATAAACGTTTTGTTAAAAATAATAAAATAATAATCATCAATTGTGGATGCTGAAGTGGTTCATGCAAAAGTAGAATATCAGATTTTGATATTGTAATGTTCTTAATTATAGGTAAAAATTAATTAATTAATTCAACATGCAGTTAATTTATAATTAATGTAACAATATAATATAAGATACTAATATTGTACAAAACAAAGGAATTAAAAATCAGAGCACAATTCATCGTTTTGTTAAGTTGTATTGAGACTAGAACACCGGTAAAATATTTGCGTACAATATTGGTTATAAGACATGAAATATTAATTTGCTTTATGCCTTAGACATATTTAATATAAATTAAAATTAATAGTTTGTCATAAGTAATGGTTATTCATAGTGGTTTATTATAAATAAGGATGGAATCATTTGTGTATCAATTAATTACTGCATTAAAGTGTTGATATTATACTCGTTCAACTTGAGTTTTAATATATTTTAACATATTTCTAACAATAATATGATGAAATGGATGTTTGTGAAAATATATTTAAAAAGAAATGGTTATATTATAATCAATTTTAAAGAGAACAAAACTTATTTTGTAAATTATAAAATTACATATTTTTATTTTATACAAGCGTATACCATTAATTTACTATTCAATATTAAAAGAAAAATACTCCAGAATTTGATGTCACTGCATCATATATGAAAGTATTATGAACTGGTTTATACTGTTTTGTAACAAACTTTATTACTTCCTGAGCTGCCAAACCACCTAAGAATGCAGATACTGAATGCAATTCTGATCCACCAAATCGACAAAATTCATGTACATAATCATCCTTTACCAATGGTCCACATCCCCATTCACTCAATAGCTTTGTTATGCAAGTCTAAACAATAATTAAGTTAATTAATTGAATATTAAAAAATATTTCAAAATATTAAAAATTTCTATTTTACTATTAATATTATTTTATATAAGACACACTTTAAGCTTAACTATATCAGGTTCCACTTGATCATCAAATTCTCCAGGATATGAGTTGTATTCTGCTTGAAATTTTTCAACCCCCCTAAGAACAACGTAATAAATCATCATACTTTCTGGATTTTCTAAACTTTGCACTGAAAAGAAAAATATTAAATTAGTAATATATTAAATTATTAATGTTATTAAGATATATACAAGATATATACACATAATTAAATAACCTAACCTAACCTAACCAATCCAATATCTTGAAAAATAATAATTTTAGAATATTCTGCTGTATATAAATAAGAACTTAATTAAATCGCATTATTTCAAACTTAAAATATTTAAAATAAAAAATAATGTTATAAAATTCAGTTTATAAAATGTTTTAATTAATCATTTACTTATTTAAAATTTATTACAGTTAACATTTATCTGTTTTTCAAGTACTATTATGTACACATTTTTCTTATTCTTTATCTTATGTTATCTTCTATAGCTGACATTATAAATAATAGTATCTCTTCCTTTACAACTATTAGTAAATAAAGTTAAAACATCTTTGAAAGCTATTATATTTGTACAGTTGATGTTTAATATAGTTAATAGTCGCATAATTAATGGCTAAGAACCACCTCACAACAAATAAAAATAAAATAAAGGCAAATATAAATACTCTTTTTTACTTTACTTTAACTATTTAAGGAAGCAGGACAGTTTGACATACTTAAAAATTAGCGATATTTTAAAGAAACATCGTAGAAAAAGTAATCGCTTGATTAATAAAAGCTTTTGTGACTTGTTTCAATATATTATAAGCTATGTAAAACAACATTCAATTTTTTAAAAAAGTCCCTTATTTAGCTTTGTGGCATCATCATTCTGAAGTAATTTTTTTTAATGTGGCCTTTTTCTGTGCAGGATTCCAACCAAATGAGATTAATGACATAAAAAAATCAAAAAGGACTTGAAACTATAACATATTCTCTAAGCATCGACGTTCGAACATTTCAATTTTTTTGAAAATTGACAAAATGGCAGCTATTTATAGTTGATCTATCAATTTTACAAAAAAATTTCGTTGTTCTTCGTTAATAACTTTTGAAATTATTAACAATTAAAAAAAAAAAATCGAACATCAATGCCTAATAAATGTTATAATAAAGATATATTCAAAATTTCATAATAATTGATAGATTAGATCTCGTGATATCTTGTACACTGTTTTTAGAAATATAGTTTCAAGAAAAACGCGTTTAAAGTTTCGTATTATCAAAATTTTGTGTCAATTTTGGGTCAATCCACTTAAAGCAGACCAAAAGTAAACATACACATAATTTCGACTCTTCATCTTTTCTGATATTACGATCTATAGAATCGGTTCCATGCTGATAGAGTATTACGTCAAGTCGCTATACATCTGCCGATGCAATGCGGCATGCAAGATCGTGAATCTACTTTAACTTCCTTACTTGCAAAAATAATTTGTTTTAAAAGCTGGGATTTTTCGTATATTACTTTTAAGACTTCAGACTACTATTTATGACACAAAGAAAACTCAATTTTTTCAAAATTTCAAACTGTCCTGTCACCAAAACCAACTAAAGATATCTATTATTGTTAATGTCTTCTATTTCTTAACAAGCAAATCTGCACATGCATCTACAATTACTTTTTAAATAATAGTAATTCACTTTACTCGTTAAATTTATTACTATGTAAGATTCAAAAAATGCTATATTGTATTTACATACTTCAAGAGAGAACAGTAATGAATAATCAAAACGAAATATAAGCCTTGTCAATCAAATCCTACAGCTACTAATTTTTACATATCTGCTAATTTTTATATTATATTATATTTTATTACCAACAATATTCAATAATAGTAATTATAATAATAATAAAGTACATTCGAAATAAATCATAAAGGCTGCTTATTTTTTTTTAGTGATCTATTAGATCTTTTAAGACTACTTCCAAACTTTTATATATATTTAATAATATTTTATATATACATATTACCTATATTGCTTGCATCAAAAATTTTAGAATCATATTCATCTGCAATACATGTCCCCCTTTCTACATGTATATTCAAAATATGCCTGCAAAATAATTTAACATCTCTTTCAGAAATAGAGTCTGATGATTTTCCTAATTGACGTAATAATTGCAATGTACGTCGCCATACTGCTTCTGCATCAGCTGTCGCTTGTTTGTGATAACTGCAATAAGTACATTTACAGAAATGTATTAAAGGAACAATATTTTTGTAATAAATTTTCTATAGAGAAGAATCTCACATTTGTTGAAGTGCTATATATTTCTCTGTATCTGCAGTCATATCTGGCAAAGTGCCTTTTAATGGTAATAATCCTGCCCCTTCATTCTCTACAAAATCTCTTACTGCTTTTGCTATGATCCAAAATGAACTACTCTGAAAATAGATTAAATCAGTTTGAAATTATATTACTCATTAAAATACAAATTTTTTCTTATACCTTAGCTGTTAAATTAATACACTGATTATCATTAAGAATATTCATCACGTTATCTGGAATCTCAGTATGTCCAATACATGTATTAACTGCTTTAATAGCTTCTTCAAAATTTTCTTCGCTATTTTTAGTATCATTTTCATCTCTTCTCATTCCTTCTTCTATTATTTGTTTTAATTGGTATTTTTCTTTGTAGGTTTTAGGTAATTCTCTTTTATTTAAAATCCATCTTTCTAAAAATTTGTATAATATGACTAAGTATGGTACATGAGAATGATCTTTAAAACTCAGATCATCTAAATTGATGGAATCAATATGCTTCTTTAGTGCCTCAAATGGTTTATCTAAACGTAAATCTGGGATTTCGTTGTCTGGATGTGTTTCTATAACTGTATGTTCTTTTACTTGAATCCTCATATATGCAATAAATCCTATACTTCTACATACTATTAAAGGTATGTTTAATTCCCAAAGTCTTTGTGACAAGAGAATTAAAGATCTGAAAATTTTTTGTTTTAAAATGCATGATTCAGAATAACGTCTATCTCCTGTGATAACGTTACTAGTTATAATAATCCTCACTTTTCAGTTAATGACGTAGCTACAACAACTGTAAAATTGTTGAAAAAGTCTGGACTATTATATAAAATTTGTTCTGGTTCTTCATCTATATAATCACCTCGAACATCTGAATTTAGTTCTAAAAGCAATTGCGTCGATACTTGTGCTCTTGACTTTCCTACACCGTCTGCTTCTAAAAAGAAGCTATTCCAATTTATAAAGTAAATATATTAAAAATACTTTTAGTTTTATTATATTTTAATTCCTAGTATTAACTCAATATAGTTAATAAGATTTATATATACATACTTTGCTCCGACATCTTCATTGGTAACTTTCTTACCATCTACAATCGTAAATGCTCCAATGCCTGATAACACTAAAGATTTTAAAATTTCTGTACCAAGCCCTGTAGCATTTATAACACAAACATGTGCTCCTTCTAATGTAGCTTGACCATGATCACCCCATAACCTATATATTGATATTAAACATATTTTCATTATATGAAATAATTTAAATATAATCAAATTATTCATAAAACGAAACTATACTGTTATATTAATATTAATTAATACTAAAACGAGAAAAGTATGAAGTTCTTAATTAATTCACTTTAGTTAACCGTTTACTTTTGAAATGGTTAAGTATTATATTCTATACCTTAGTTGCCTATCATATTTTCTATTTCTTTCAGATTGCTCTGGCGATTTCGGTGCTGGTGATGCCATAAGTACAAGCTAATAAAAATGATGGAATAATATACACTTTTTTCAAATAATATAAAATACACTTCTAACCAAATTGACATATACAAAACATTCGTACGTTTGCATGTAAATTTCCATGCGTCACCATGAATAAAGTTATTTCGTAGATACGATACCACAAGAAAAAAATGAAAGTATTATTTGCAAATGCAAAATTTCAATTTGAAAACTTATTAAACGATACCTTATATTGTTATGGTTCTAATAAAGTAGATTTTATACAAAATAATTACTATTTGCAAACATTATACCTTCTTGGGGATACAAAATTAAAAATTTAATCGGTGTAACAATAGAATTAAATTTTAAATAAAAATACAATTATTTATTTAAAAGTTTCATAATAATAGGTACTTTTGCTATATTCCGCATTATGAAATAAAGTATAACAGTTAATTCTATAATAAAATGTTTATTTTAATATCCAAATAAATTGCTTAAAAATGTGTGATGGCTTCGAAGTTAAAATACATACAAAAAATTCTGCATAACGTAATATATATTATAGGTTAGGAAGTGATTCTACATAAAAAAATAAATTAGAAATATAAAACAGAATCTATTTCTTTAAGATTTAGTTCTCAACAAAATCGATTTAAAAAATTTGTCTAATACGCATGCATTCAACCGTATATTGATTTCACGTTCTGTGCATTCAAGGAAAGCATGTTTACATGCTCACGGTTGACTAACGAGTCAATCCTCACGAGTGTCTGCTGACACTCCCATGATCACAGGTAGTGACCGCTATATCCATTCTTGTTATTACACATATTTCTATTTATAAACATGGTAATAGAGATATACAAGGTGGTCAAAGTTATTGGATAACCCAGTATTTTAATGTATCTATTATTATATTTATTATTATTATTTCAATTCTGCTATATAGTAATTATTATGAGCATAATTATTTTATAAGATATATTATACTATATGAGACATTTAATATCGATATTACATTATAATAAATATTATACAATAATTAGTTTAATTCCTATAATAGAATTTTAATTTTTATCAATACTTATAATATTAATTGTTCAGATACAATAAAAGGTCAAATTTTTTATCAGATTTTTGAACGGATGTTAATAATCGATTATAAGTATAACAATATTTTAGAAAGTATTTTTAGCAAATCAATGAAAATGTTGAATATATTTGTTAAATAATAGAGAAAACATTAAAATTAAAAAGAAAGAATTGATTCTTGTGTATTTCGGTATGTGATATCTTTCGATTATAATAGAAGCAATTAATAAGCTAGTATATGCTATTTATAAGAAATAAACACGTACATTATTTTCCTTAATACTTATTGAACGCTTAATTACTTAGGCGTGAAAACTCTTAATACTACTAACTAAGCATTTGAATATTTAGGTGTGAAAAAGTAGTTATTTTTGCTCGGATATTATAAGGCAAATTGACCTGCCGAAATCAGTCAACAGATTATGCTATACCGTTACGGTAATCATCTTTAAAGATTAGGTTTTTACATGCGAAGTTTGGAGTTTCCTTTGGACTTTCCGTGCAGACATCTTTAATTTCAGTTTATTCGAGCGTTTCCCTTCGAGCTGCCTGTCTTTACCCCGTAGCGTTTTGTAAATTTTATCACGAACAATATCTTGCTTGCCAAAATGCGACACTAACTGATACAACGTTCATTCAATAGCACAGGAAATCTAAATAATATTTGGGAATTCAGCGAAACGCGTGATTTTACTGATAAAATACCAAAGTAGTATTTCTTTTGTAACTTTGCTACTGTAACACGTGATTCTTTCTTTATTAAATTATAATGACAATTGAAATACTAATCGTACCAATACTAAATAATGGTAAGAATAAATCAAGAGAAAGTATAGTATCATATTAAATCTGATGTCATCTTCTAGCGTCATGACTTTGCCTGGAAGAGGTAGTATTTTTATAAAATCTTTCGTTTTTAAACTAAAATCAAGTGTTACGTGAAAACTAGAAAGTTAGGAAGCTCTAATTGGTTTCAAATATCCGCAATTATGAACATAATATGTTTCTGTCGTATATTTTTTTGAATATAATAAACCTCAATTAATGTTTATAAGTTTTATAACATTTGTGGGGGATGAAAATATATTAAAGGGTGTTTACAAGAATTTATTAGGAAAGATCACATTTAAGAGGTAACAATAAAATAAAATATAATACGATATAGTATAATATAATTTGTAATCAGAGTTGAATGAAGAAAAGTATGTAAGTATTAATAACGACAATAGCAACAGCAATAACAACAACAGTAACGGTAATGGCAACGGCAAAGGCAGCGAAAACGGCAGCGGCAACAATAACAATAGTAGTAGTAGCAGTAGTAGTAGAAGTAGTAGTAGTAGTAGTAGTAGTAGTAATAGTAGTAGTAACAATAACAACATGAAATTACTAATAGTAATAATACTAGCAATAATACTATTAATAGTAACAATGATAATAATATTTATGTATTATGACACATACAGAATAATAATAATAAATATGAAATATACATAATTTCATTATTACGTCTAAATTATTACGATTATTAATAAAAAACGAAAGAAACACCTATTCTCAAAATGTTAAAAGTTATATGAATTATTATAAATTTGAATGATTATTATAAATTATTATAAATTTGAATTTTATATCTCCCTCTTTTCAAATTTTTTAACCATCGTATTTTTTGTATCATACAAAGCTACGCTGCCACACGATAGCATATTATCATTTTCAGTGTTTTTCAAGTAACTTCAAAGCGGTATATCTCGGCAAAAGCAAATTGTCTGATTATAAATCAAATTTGATATTACAGGGGAAGGTTAGCATTATTAAAAGCAGTTAATGAAGATATTGAAAATAATAACTACCTTTAGAATATTTCCGTAAAAATAACAAAAGTCAATATTTCTTATTTATCTTTTTGATAAACATAAGCTGATAGATCAATTATATGATAAACAGATTTTGCTACCAGATTTGGTTTCAATGTATGAAAATATATAAGATGCCTTTAAATTTTCAAAAAACAAAATGTCGTTGATCTGTTTTTTGCTACTTGTGTCATCTTTCCGTCGCAATAATTTTTTATTTAAACAAGTAAAATTTCTAGGAATAAATCTAAACTATAGTTAATATTCTGCTCTTGTATTGTTAAGAACCCGACACATTATACGAGTGCGTATGTAATATACGCATACATTGCATTAGTTTCAAGAAACACTGAAAACTACAGGGTGTAGTATTATTTTATTCCATATTGTAACTACGATTAAGGGTAGCAAGTGTCGTTACTTCTGTTGCTGTTTTAATTTATAACCGTCGTTTAGTTGTTCCTCGTGATTGTTCCTTCCTCTTTAACGTTATGTATCTTGCATAAGTCTTACCAGTAATTTAATTACATATTTTTTATTCTACTAACTATTCAATGTTTAAATATATCACATATACAAGTAATTTATTACTCCCATTTCACTATTATAGTCGATATATATGAATTATATTCGTAAAATCGTCAGTATCTCGTAATTTTTATCCCATATTTTCCTAACTCTAAGAGTCACTGCAATTATCGATAATTTGGAATCAAATTTTTGGAATCAAACTTTGTCTTTGATTTTACAAGTAAATGGTCTCAGAACATAAATTCTAAGGCTCGTTCCTTTCTTCATGATTTTATCATTTTATTTAAGACTCTTCAAGAGAAAAAATTTTATTCTTTATTTTCGATCTATTCTTTCGTATATAATCACCCCCTCTTCGATTTTACCACCGATATTTATGTATTAATGATATATTCATATAAGCCATTGCTAAGTGCACGCGCATTCGGTGAATATTCCAAGTCGATTTTCTCGAAAACGAAGCTCTGACTGAAGAAATTTTATTCTTTATTTTCGATCTGTTCTTTCATATAGAACCACCCCCTTCCTGATTGCACCACCGTTGTTGGAGCACTCTGTATATCGACTATGGAAATATTAAGATAAAGCAGATTTAAAGAGGATATTCATTAAAGAATTTTATTATCAACGACGTAAGCACATCCTAATCTAATTATATTTTAAATAAGTACCATATCTTCGGTTCTTCAACAAATATTTTAACAAACTATCTTTTGTTAATTATTTATCGAATGTATTCATATATGGGGTGGCTCACTAAAGTTGACCCACTTGATTATCTCTGAAACTTTTGACAATGTTAAAATGTTTTTCAGATAAAAGTTGAATGATTTCAAACAAAACATAGTCTTAGAAAGGTAAATTTTTCTGAGGACTTGTAAGGAATATATGCAGAACAATATTGTATCCATAAACAGAACTGTATCTCTTTTAATACAGTAATTCATACTACTTGTTACTCGCTAAAAATCTTATAGGTACTTACAGCGAAATATCATTAGTGTACAAGATATTTTACTCTTAATATTCGGTAGTAATACTATTAATAATGCATACTAGCTGATATTAATACCAATGTCCCTACCCGATATTAAAATTAAAAATCTTCTAAATCAAAAATTCTTTTCACGTCAAATTATACATCCTATTAAACAATTTAACTTTCGTCTGAAATTTTTAATATTACCAACATTTTTTAAAATATTTTAGTGTATCTATTTGGTTACACTGCATAAATAACATTTATATTGATATCTTATTGTTTTTTTAGTTCATAAATTTTCGATATTTAAGATTACTGAAAATAGTTCTATCTCAAGAATTAAAAAATATAATTTTGCAATTAGTTATTCATAACAAGTTCATGTGTCATATATGAGCAATATCAAAGATTGTCTGAAATCTTAAGGATTAACGATGCAACGTACTAATTTTGATTACTAATAATACGTTTTGTTTGGGTAATTTCCACAAAAATAGAAACATATTGCAATTAAGAAAGCATTTATTTATAATTTAGTTCGAATTAATAACTCATATAATCAACGTATAAATATCGAAAAACTTATACGTTTACTTAAATTCGCATTCTCCGTTTTATTTCTCACTATTTTAATTATTCCTTTTTTCAGCAAAGATTGGTACATATC